TTTTTTTTTTTTTTTTTTTTTTCTCCAAGTTCAGCAATTCTTGTTTTAATTTCAAATTAACCAATGATAGAACATGGGTGGATATTTCAATTACCTAAGCAAGCAATGTTTGTAAAGCAAATATGTTATTGCACTATACCTGCATCTCCATCGTATCCACCAAGAATTCTCATCGGATAACCTTCTATCTCATCACCAATTGCAAAAGCTTTGTAGTGAGCATAGGTCTTTGTAAAAGCAAAATCAGTGAGTTCTATGTTCAACTCGTTAACCTGTAAATCTAAATTTAATTTTTTTGACTCTCACAAGTTAAGGAACACAGCTTTGGTAATACAACAAAATACCTTGTAATTTGTTAGAAGATAAATTTTTTCTAGTCCAATCCAGAATTCTCCTCCTAAATTTCCAAATCCGAATTTATAGTCTTCCCATCCTCTATTGAAATCAATCGTTCCTTCATATCGATTTTGAATAACCTAATAAACAAATGAGCAGTTTGTTAAGATGAAATATGAAATGCTGTTAAAAAACTCAATGATGTGCTTACTGTCCATCCTCCTCCTTTGGTTTCCATATCACAATAGACATAAAAAGGCTGTGTTGCTTTTGGAGGTTGAATTCTGTAGACACCTGATTGAATAAATCCATTTTCTTTTACTTTGCTGCAATCCCATGGGAGCTGTTCCTTCGAATTTGATAAATGATTTGTTAAGCTGTTCATAGGTGGTGATTTGTGGAAGTCAAGAAAAAGGTTTTTCAGATGCTGTTTTGTTACAAGCTTATTGTTTGATTCAACCATCAATCTGAAATTAAAATGTACTTCAGTCATTGCAGATTTTTGTAAAAAATAAAAAAAAAAACACATGCCTTAAATTAGCTAACTTACCTAATTATTTTTAATTGTGGTCTTACCTTGTCATATTATTGAGGTGTGTAATATTGACACCAATGTGAGTTAGTGTGTCAAACAGTGCTGTAGTTATACCTTTTATTCCTACATTTATGGCAATGAGAGTTTGTAGTTTGTTCTTAATGTCATTTTCAACAAGTGTAGGATATCTTGTTTCTGTTGGACACAAAATTTGTGAAATGAACACAGGAGGATTACAAAATACTGACATGGATGAATAGAAGACTTGCAGACACTGTAATAAGTGCATTGACCTACCTGGTACAGACAGCAACCCTCGTAAATGTTCTTGGCCCTGAGTTAGACCAGCAATGTCTAGTTTTACTGATTCTAATAGAGTATCTATTTTATTGGTTTGCCAGTCTTGTTGTTGGACTCTGCGAGCTACTTCTCGTAATTCAGTTCTTAGACTTTCTACTTTTTCTTGCTGTTGTACTTCTAGTTTTGTGAACCTTAAACCAAGTTTTAATAAGTATGAAAGAATGGCTTCAAATTCCATTGAAATCCAATTATCTTAACTTGGGGAAAAAGCAGTTGTTAATTCTGCTCACTTACTTATAACATGTAATTGCATTTTAAAAAATCTGTCAGTTATCTTTGAAAATCCAACACTCTAAAACCCATATCATATGAATATTAGATCTTTTGAAAAGTTGTTTCACCTCCAACTTAACAAAACTTAGTTTTTTATTACCGGTATTCCAAAGTTTCAAGTCGCCTGATTTGCTGTTCATCAAGAGCTTGTAGAGCTGTAAGACGGTCATTGAGTCGTTGGAGCAAGCCTATTGCCTGTCCTAATAATTCATCACTGGCAGATTCTGTTGGTGTGGAATTCTCCTAAAGTCATTGAAAGAGAAATAACAAGATGAGGGAGTCATAATATGAATTGAAATAAGTGAAGATGTGATTTCAAAGCCACTGGAAGAAAGTTATCCTTTAGCTGGAATTTCATCAAAATGTTCAGAGTTCATTGAATTAAAAAGAAAAAATGCTGCCTAAGTAGAAAGTGCAAAAGATATCTTTATAAATTAATAGCTTTAAAATTTTGCTTTGAAGTAAAAAAAAAACAAAGTCTCTAAATCGGTATGATGTGTTAAAACCTAGTATGAATTTTGTAGTATGAACCTTTTGATTTGAAAACATATTTCTAAATTTCTACAATTTGTTATAAAATAAATAAATTCATGATTGGCATTAGAAATTAATTTTATTTTCTTTCAGACTAAATTGTTGATATTTACCTCTGATGCATTTTGTTTGTTGTTTGGGATTCCTCTTTGATGTCCTCTTCGAGCAGGGCGAATTCTATGATCTGCTGGTTGCCTTATTGTGACGTTTTCCTCGCTGCCATTAACAGTCCATATTATAAAACAACTCAGAAAAAGTATATATTTGTTAGGACACATATCCATATTCTCTCACTCTATGCTTCTGACTGAGATATAGTGGGCAACTTTCGTAACCCTGCTGATGATATTTCCATGTGTTTAATTTTTTGCCCTGAAGACCCTGGCATTGCCAGACAGTTTTGCTTTTTTTGTTTGTATATGCGTCTTCCTCTAGTGAGTACTCTTTTCCTTCTCTTTTTACACTTCTCTCTTTGTACATAAGACTCCTTTCTTTTTCTTCAAAGTCCCAAAAGTGAAGATGATGCCATGTTGAAAGTGGAGGCCTTTTTGAAATGAAACCTCATGCAGGCCTTGTGTAAACAAAATGGTTTGTGGTTTTTGTACATCAATTTTTTATTCCTCGCAGGTCAAGGACGTTTTGGTAAAGTTTATACAGCAGTAAATAATGAAACCGGTGAATTATTAGCCATGAAGGAAATACAGTTGCAACCAAATGATCATAGAACTATTCGTAGAGTTGCAGAGGAATTAAGGACATTTGAAGGAATTACTCATCGATCACTTGTTCGTTATTATGGTGTTGAAATTCATAGGGTGAGTAACAAGTTGCTGTTTATATTTGGCATACTTTTTTAATTGCTTTTCTTATTAATAATAAATATAAAATTTTTGTGATGTGAAGCACCCTTTTTAAATTAAGGGGTAGTTCACAGTTCAGTAAGCATACATTAGTATTTATTTATATTGTACCTGAGTTTTATTATAAATATACCAACTTATTTAATTTTTGCAGGAGGAAATGTTAATATTCATGGAGTTTTGTGCAGAAGGTACTTTAGAAAGTCTTGTGGCAGCAACTGAGAGTGGTCTTCCTGAACCATTGATAAGAAGATATACCCATCAACTTCTTGATGCAGTTTCCTGTCTCCACAGACATGGGGTAGTTCATAGAGACATTAAAAGCAAGTGCTTGTTATTCTGTTCAAAATATTACTTTAAATTTTGTCTGTATATTCTACTATCTAATTTATATTTTATTACTACTCCATTACAGGTGCCAATATATTTTTAACTGATGAAGGTAATTCCTTAAAATTAGGTGATTTTGGATCTGCTGTTAAAATCAAAGCGCATACAACACTTCCAGGTGAACTTCAAGGTTTTGTTGGAACACAAGGTATGAATTACCTGGAGGGGTGTTTTCTAATCTTTAATGTTTTCCTTAGAATTTATTATAGAAATTACAAAGCTTTTCTTAATTTTATTCAATGAAGCAAAATACAAGGGATAATTGTACATAATGTATTACAATAATACTCTCGGTATTCTTACATAAAAATACTACCCATTTGTGATTGTTACATGCTAATGAAGTTAATTTGTGATTTGTGCAAAGGATACTCATTTGTGATTACATTTGTGTTATTGAACAATTTTTGTTATATTGTTTTCCCAGTTCTATTTTAAATCTGAAAATCAGAATCATTCACTAAATAGTTAAAACAAGCTGCTTTTGCATAAAATAATTTTGTATCACTTCTGAGTGTTTGGAATTAAAGTATCAAAGGAGTTCCATGCAGGAAATCTTACTGTTTATTAAGTTTAATAAATAAAAAAATAAAACAACAACAACAACAACAACTTAAAATGTGGTAACTCTAAAAATGAGTTTGCTCTATTGGTTAAATTTTGAAATGTCTGATGATTGAAAGAACTAAGAAGTCTCATTTTAGAGAAGATTAATCTTAGATATTTATTTTGGCTATATTTATTTTTGTGAATGCCTCATTCAGTATCCATATTGTGGAATTACAGTCAATTCTGGATATGGTGACCTTGAATGTAATGAACTTTTGCTTGAAGTTAACCAGGGTCACTGGCACCGATATTTTGCTTCAGGACAGCAAATTCTAATAACTTAAGGGTTGGGGATGAAGAATCTCGTGAATTAATTTTGTAGTATTTATGGCAAATGAAAGGGACTGCAGGAACATACCACTGAAGGAATTGTTTCAACTCTTCCGTGGAAATTCTTAGGCAATATCTGTTTGAACTGTAAGATTGAAACAAATCGTAAATGCTGTAATAGGGTCTTCCAGATCATAAGAAAACAAATATGTTGGCAAAGAAGATACCGTTAAAGAAAGTGTCCTGACAGTGTAAGAGTCATTCAAGAGTATAAACACTGCTCTAAGTTAAGTAGACAATTTAGATTCACATGCAGCGATGGTAGACTCTTGAGAAGGATATGCAAAAATTGTTAATAGAAATCCGTACTAAAACTAGTGAAAACAGTAATTTATGTAACTAGTACAGAAAGTGAGTCTGGTGTACAAAAGAAATGCTGACGGATGTTGTAATGATAGGAGCCAAGACCAGCATTTTGAGATGAATAAACTGAAGACCCTTTCATATGAGTTATGTTATTTGTTTTTTTTAGCCCAAATTCATGGAAATTTACATGTATATGCTTTTGGGATAGTTTTCAATAGGTGAGGTGCCAGTCATGTTCATTCATGTCATTTGAGTGTTTTGTTTACTTTGAAGAAGCCAGTTGTTTGATGATTAGCCATGATGAGCAATATGATCATTCTTCTTTTTCTGTATGCTTATGGCAAAGTCTATTTTGCCATATGTATACCTCAAAGAAACACATTCCATTCAAGAGACAATGAAAGCTTATATGTACTAGTTTCAGTGTGAGTGCTTAAAACTAGTGGTGCTACAGAATGGCACAGTCTTACTTGTACCATTTAGTTTACTAATATCTCTGGCCTGATCTTGCCCCACCCCCTTGCCTGCCGCTATCTATCGCCACATTTTGTTTGAAAATTTCTCATTTTTTCGATTTCTTAATGGTAGAACTAAAATTTTACTGTAAAAATATTATTGAACTGTAAAACTTCGTCCTTTAAGGATATTGAAAACTTTGGTGCCGTGTTTAAGAAAATGGCGTTTACGAGTTACTGTAAATGCAAAATTTGAAGCACAGAAATCTTTTGGGTTTTCGATAAACGTCCTTTAAAGTGCCTTAAAAGCACTTCCAGACACAAATGCAATAATGAATATAAATCGCTGGAAATGTGCATTGATATGTTGATTCCCAGCAGTTTACTATTCACAGTTGCCTGTGTATTTCAGTATAGAACCCACTGATGTTATAAATGTTCAAAATAAATTGTGCTAAAATATTTCTCTGGTGCAATAATATTTCTAACAATTGTACTTGAGAGTCATTTGAAGGGTAATAAATTTTGGAACTTATCTAATTGTATACGTATTCTTTTTAAAGGGATTTTGTTTGATGTATGTGCATTGTATTTCAGCTTATATGGCTCCAGAAGTTTTTATGAAGACTAATACAGAAGGTCATGGACGAACTGCAGATATATGGTCAGTTGGTTGTGTTGTAGTTGAGATGGCTTCCGGCAAGGTATGAAGAATGATATTATATGAATCTTATCTTTGATTTTACTATTCAAACACAATCTTTGTAAAATTATTGTAATAATTTGAGTAGTTCTCATTTTTTTCTTCTTTTTTTCTTTCTTTTTCCTTATTTCCTTTTCCTTTTCTTTTTGTGTTTATTTTCTTTCTCAGGGTAACCACATTCTGGTAAAAAATGAAAAACCGAGAAAAATCAGGAAATTCATTGCTCTGGAAAAGTCAGGGAAAATCAGGAAATGTGTAGAAAATTGTCAGAAAACAGGGAGACTTTTGAGATGCTTATATCACTTGTCCTTAAAAAAAATTAGTTCATCAAAAACATTTTCTTGTCCCATAAGATACCCCACCATGCAAATTATTAAAATATTATTTAATAACATTTTTTGTGATATGTTTGTGGATTGATGCAAAATAAACACAATCAGATTGAAAATACCAAGAAAATGTTTTTTGAAACTTCCTTTTGGGAGTTAACTAAATTATATACAGAAACTAATGGTGCATACGTTCGTGTATTATTGACAACACATGTAATATTATAATATTGCAATTTCTGTCCTACTGACACTTCAGCCATTACTAGAAAAAGTTCAGACATTGCAAATCTGCAGTTATTTTGATAACCATGAAAAGTGGTTGTTTGTTATTTGTGCAAAAGAAACAAACATGAATAAATCACAATTGTTACAGTCTTCTCAGCACATTATACAGCAAGGAAGGATAATTTCACAATTTGATAAGTGAAGTGAGCTTCCAATTTTTGAAGCCCATAATTAGCATCTTTTTATTTTAATAAGGTATATTATTAAAATGGTGTCGTAGTACATATAGTGAGAAACATTAGTTCCCAACAATGAGAAGAAGTTTTATGAATTTAAAACTGCGGTCTCATAGTGTTGCCATTGTCTCGTGAAACTCTTCAGAAATACGAATTTCCAATTTCAAAGATTTGCAGAAATTACCCGATCTAATCATATAAAATAACAACCTAAATGTCTTTATTGAAAGGTCTATTTTCGAAGAACAGATGAAAATTCTGTTGTGAATGTTGTGGATTTGCAATGTTACTTTTTTTGCAATTTTTGAAAATGCAGGGAGTTTACTGAAAATGAGCCTAAGCCACTTTAAAACGGTCAAGGGAAAACATAATGGAAAAATTTGGAGCAGTTTTTGGGATAATATATTTTTAAATTGCCAGTATTTCATCCAAAGTTACACAAAAACTACTCATTTTCGAATAATTTTACATGATCTTATTATAGAGCTCAGTTTGAAGAACAGATATCTGTAAGAAACTAGTAGTGCTACTAGAGCATGTATTTTCACACATTCTGACTAACATTTGAAAGTTTTGAAAATTCAGAAAGGTTAATAAAAATGAGATATGTGCCATTTCTCAAGCATTCTTTACTCTTATCATAGGAAAACACGTAAAAGAACCATTCATGGGAAAGGTATAATTAAAATATAGTATTAGTATTTTGTAATAAAATTATTAGTTCGAAAAAGAGGGTGTAACACTTGTGCATGGCTTTTTTAAATATAAAAATATGAAGATAACAAAATATTGTAGAAAGAAAAGGTTTTTGACCTTTAAATCCAAAGATATGTGGTTATGATTCTGTTAAAAATACATAGGACTTTTGTGATTTGTGCAGTATTACATACTTTGGGGGTATATAAAATAACGTTTGTCTTATTCTGATTTATAAATATTTCCAATCAGTTTTGGTTTGTGTGCTTATGAATCCTTGAATATCTGTTTTGTTTCAGAGGCCATGGGCTGAATATGATTCCAATTATCAGATAATGTTTAAGGTGGGCATGGGGGAAACCCCCCATGCTCCTCCTACGTTAAGTGAAGAGGGTCATCAGTTCCTGGATTTGTGCTTGCAACATGATCCTCGTGAAAGAGCATCAGCTCACAGTCTTCTTTTGCACAGCTTTGTAAAGGTATGTTGTTGCAAGCAAAAGTATTTTATTTATATATGCTTAATTTTTTAAAAAGTTGAGAAGAAACTTAATATTCTGAATTTGATATTTCAGAAGGTGTGTTAGAATTTCAACTTTGTTTTGAATGGAAAATGTTATGAGGGGTTTTGATTTTTATAATTGCATTCAGCATTTGAAATAATAATTGAATTAAAATCATTTAGTATGCAAATAAATTGTGATTTTTCACGAATGAAAGAGTGCTAGTCAGACCTCTATCTCTGTCACTACAACCACAATGGTTTACCACTACAAGCCCCTCTACCACCATCACCAATACCACTTCTACCCCCCCCCATCACCCCCATTATCATTACCTGCAACACCACCAGGACCACAACCACCATGTTCACATGACCACAATTACCACAACCACAATCACCAACACTACCACCACCAATACCATGACCACTACCACCACCATGACCACCACCACCACCACCACCACCACCACCACCACCACCATGACCACCACAACCACAACCATGACCACCACCACCTCCACGACCATGACCACAACTGTTGTGTGGTCTGTGTTTGTGTGTGTTGGAGGTGTGTGTGAAATTGGAGTTTTCAAGTATATAAAATTATGAGTTTTTTAAAATTTGAAGTAATTTTTCAAAACTTTCAGGTTTTTTATGGGTTTTTGAACTTTTTTTTTCCCCTTCTTTTTTTCTTCCCTCAGTTGTGGCACGGGGTGGCAGTAGACTGGAAAAATTTAGCCAACCCTGTCATCATCACTCATTCATCAAAATCAAGTGTGGGACAGGAACATAATTAAAAATATTTTACTATATTGATAGGTCATGAGAGCAATCCAGTATGTAAAGTTCTTACGGATGCAATATTAGAGAAAATGGGAATGAATGAATGTCATTGTAGTTAATATTTTTAATCCTCACCTGTTCGGAAAGCCATGATAAATTTTATGTGCTCTGGATTCAGATCTAGAAAATTGAATTATCTAATTTGGTATTCATTGTTTTGCAGGTAGATAGTGATGATGACTATTCATCTACGCTTCCATCAGTGTTGGAAGATTCTTTGAAGTTATCTTCGATAAAGTGAAAATGGCTTGATGGTGTTTTCTTGATTTCACATGTTCCTGATGGCAGTGGTGGCTTATGCCAATAATATTAGTTCGTGTTGTTTGGGATTGTTTAATTTGTGTAACTACTCCCTATTGTCATTGTCTCAATTTGCTTGCATTAACTGCAAATCTCATTCTAGAAATTTATCTGCATGTATGCTGCATTCCTAATGTATACCACAGTAATGATGTATATGCAGTGACAAACTTATGGCTTCCAGGCAGAGGGCAGTGGAATGATGAGAGCCATACAACTCTGTGATGTTAGTCAACCCCCTCTTGAAGGACTGGGAAGCTCTTTCAGAAGAAGCAGACAATTAACCTTCAGATCTTTGTGCACATAACATGCTCTGCGAGCCAATGACAAGATGCCAGAGAAAGGGTCAATGTCATGAAGCAGCTAGATGTTGGACATGTATCATACCAAATTATTCAAGGGTTTTAATGTCAATGTATGTTTCAGTAGATAACATTTACATTGCAATCATTATAGATGCATTGTTCATCTTACAAAATATTTAAGAAAATTAACTCTCTATGTCTTCCACAACGAAGTGCGTGCCTCCATGCCTGTAAAATTTGTGGGGAAATTTTTACGATTTTTAAGTAACTACAGAGCCTCTTGGTTGGCTGCAATTGTTGACTGAGACAACTGAGCTGCCTTAATGAGGTTGTTTTGGAAACCATGAGCCACCACTGCCTGATTATATTACTGCAAATGTACCTTCTATTACTATAATTTTATTGAGGTTATACTGTCAGCATTTGTATTAATATTAATGTAAATTTTCTGTATAAAGTGTAGGAAGCTTTCTAAATGCTGCTCTAAGAGAATAACTATCATGTACCTGTTGAGTTCTAAGATAACTAAGCTGTTCTTATATAAGAAAATATATAGTAAAAAGTTGTTGAAGTCCTATTTATATTCTAAACCATCTGGAGGTTGAATAAAGAGCACAAAAGAGAAAATAACACTTCTGTAAATAATATGCTTTGTATGTAATCATGAGTCTAGCATAAATGACTAGTAAGTTTGAGTCACTAGAAAGCAGTAATATGTAACTTAATATACTTTACAGTTGGTGACAATAATTCAGAAATAATGAATGTTCTTTTAGACAGCTCATACAAATAAAAATTGACGAAACCAAAGTATATCTGGTCAAGAATTATCTGTACTTATTTGTTGGAAAATTGTGCTGATGATTGCTGTTTTTATTATTTTTTTTAATGGAATAGGTATGGATGCGTTAATGTTTATATTCTTCCATATGTAGTAAAGTAGAAATCAATTTGGAAACCAATATGTTATCCTGCATTTTGAATTATATGTACATTTCATAACATCAATATGAAGTAAAAGGTATGTTTTGAAACTATTTATTGGACCAATTCCTTATTAACCCAGATTGACAATGATTTTCATAAATATACATGCCTTTCACATGTGAGATTTACATCAAGTAGTATTAAAGTTGTTGATGTGAATCACTCATTAAGTCTATTTCTCAATATCTATACCGAGTTTGCTCGAATGAGAACATTTCCATGTTGATGTAAGCAAATTAGTGGATCAGTTTCCCCCCATCCTTAACTTTGTGCAACTGTTTTGGATGTGAAAACTAAAAATCTTCAGTATGTTTCCCAGAAAAGTTTTTGTTTTGCAAATTGCGATTTGGTAAAATCTGAAAAGGAATGGTCTAGTATTGGTGTAAATACAGGACGTCCCTTGTATAAATTAATAAAGTTTGTAGTTCGAATATTAAAATTCAGTTTGAAGAAAATAATTAAAATAAAACAGTTTGTTTAAAGAACATATTGGCAAATGAGCAATTTACTATTCGTAGGAGCGCAATCTACAATGTGCCCTGAAGTTATTTTCAGAATTGTATTGTGGGGAGTAAGATAATGAACAAAGGTGTCATTGATTGCTTTGTCTTATTCTGATTTGAACTCGTGGAAGGATGATATGTGGCTGCTACTTAAATGTATTTTTAATGTGTATGTATGCTGCTGCTTTGTTTTTGTTTGTGCATTTCAGTTGATATTTCCATTTAATGATATTTTGCATTACAAGTAGTATGTAGAAAATAGAGGTGATTGTAACACGTAAGATTTCTTTTCTGTATGTGTGTACGCTTTTTGAACAAAAATATTTTTGGCAGGAATGTGTGTCTGCTTTATCACTTTACAGGAATATGTAAGTTTTAGAGAATCAGTGTGTCTCGCTGCTGTTATGAAGTAAAAATACGAGACAGTTGCTGTTGCAAACTATTTTCACTTTACATGGTTTTGGCATGTTGATAAAAATGGATCATGATTTTATATTTTATAAAATATGATCTTTTAGACAGCTCATACATATTTATACTTTTCAACATTGTGATGTAGTCATGTAGTTGTTTCATTTTATTATTAAGAGGCAGTGTGTAGGAATTAAGGGTGTAAGTTGATGTAGGTGGAGGTAGTTCAAAAAATTATAAATTCAAATGAAAATTATTTTATTATTATTGTTTATAGTAACTGCTTCAGGAAACACAATGAGAGACTGACAACCAATTTGGAACAGATTGAAAAATATCTAATCATTATATTGGAATATATATAATTCTCCCTATATTTACAAATATACCCAACTGTATCAACTACAATTTTTATAGCTGAATGTGATAAAAATAACTAATTTTACTGTGAAGTATTTTGTAAGGGTTTCTGGTTTCGTAGATACTATTTGTTGTAGATTAGTAACTGGACAGTATGCATTTATCACATTATTTGTACAATTATTTTAGTAAGATGCAGTATTTCATTTTGGATAAGATCTTCTGACAAAATATAATATTTTATTATGAAAAAATGTGGATGGGCATTAATGGTACCTGTATTATACATTTAGTTTCAAACTATAGTTGTTAACATTTCAGAATTCTTATTAATGTATTTGAATTAAGTTCATTAAAACGTTAAATGTTTTATCTATTAAGTGATGTGTTAATGATTTATGTTATCCAGTATTGTGAAGTAATTTTTATTAAAGTATTTCTTTTTCTTTAAGTCATTTGTTTTTTCCGTAGGAAACCCCCTTTAATATGACTTCTCACATAATACAAAACTTCCAAAGATTTGACACACTCTTAATTAATCCTTTATAATATAAACTACTGCTGCTGCTCCTCTTCTTATTTTTCTTATTCTTTTATTCTGTCTTCCTTTTTCATCTTGACTACTTTTATTGCACCTAATCACATATATGTTGTACATGGTTCCATGTGTTGATTCCAGGCAATGAATGTAGATTCTCTCCTATCAAAAATCACATACAACTGAAGCAAATAAATTAAATCCTTTTCCAACAAACAGGTGTACATCTTGAACATGATCTTCACATCATCTAAACTATCAGGGCAGGTAGAAAAATTGCAGACAAATAACGTTTTCAGTAAAACTTGTGTAAAAATATTGACTTTGATATTCTCTAATAAAAGTTTGGGTAATTTTCTGAGATGCAACATACAAGTGCAGGGATAGGACAAAATTAATGTGGAATGTAAGAAATATGACATCAACCAAAAACCTTGCAGGAAATATTTTAAAAGTTAACGATAGCGATGTGAACGATTGGCAAGTTTCTTCAATATTTATCGAGAATGCTGATCTCACTGAGCTTTCAACCACAAAATTTAACATGAGACGTGCCCCAAAGTTTTTGACACGATTTGTTTTCGAAACTTATTCTTTGAAGTTCTCTAAATAGTAGGTAAACTAATAAAAAAACAACAACAAAGAACTATTCGGCCGGTTTAGCTGAATTTCCCTTTTGTTTGTTAAAAACGCGTCGGCCATTGTACACCCGTTAACTAACATACTATTTAATGCATCCTTGTACACTGGAATTTTTACAAATATTTTCAAAATGGTCGAGATCGACGCTCTTCAAAAAAGGCAACAAGAATGAAATTCAAAATTATCGGCCAATTTATCTTTTGTCAGTGTCAGAAATATTAGAGAGACTTTTTTAAGTACGAATGGAAATCTTTCTCAGTAAACAAGAAGCGTTTTCAAATTGTCAAGGTGGATTTAGGAAATCAAAATCTACGGAAACAACCATATTTTCTTTTCTTAATGATGTCGCTTCATTCATGGATCAAAACGAAGCACTTATTGGAATATTTTTAGATCTTTCAAAAACTTTTGACGTCTTTTATCGTAACGTTTTACTTTAAAAATTAACTTCTTATGGAATCCGTGGTATTGTACTAAATTGGTTATGTTCGAACCTTAAATTGTGATCTGAGAGAGAATGAACACCTTACTGGAATGATTGTACATTATATACACACTTTTCCTATCCTTTGCCAATTGCACATGGAGTATCGCAGGAATCGATTTTAGTCCATATTCCAAAACATGCAACCATCGGACTCGAACCCCAGAACCTCTCGGCCGTGTCTCAGAGCCATCTTGGCCGATGATATACTTGAAAATAATTTTTGTGGCGTAGTTTGGAGTGCTCCCGTCGGTTTGGCTGCCCTTCCAACAAGCTCAACGAGCATTTCGATAATTTCGCATGGTTTAGGCTGTCTACTGCTTTGCTTATTTTTCAGTTATCCCTAAAAGGGGTAAAAAATCCTGTTTAAATAATAAATATTGTGGCGATTTCATAGTCGAATGCCCTTTGTGGCTGATGTGCGTCTCGTCGTTGAATTGGTTTCCGCATGTTCTCGGGCCGTTGCTGGCTTTTTACTGGGCAAAGCCGAGGATTCTGCAAACAGATCACGGCCGTTGCCGACGACCTCCCGCGTCCGAAATGCGATCCCCACCAGAGACGTGGCCACGGTCGACACTGCCGTCGCTGGGCGGCCGTCTGCCGCCGACTCAGCATTGGCATTCTTCGCGCGCCCAAAGCGATTTTATTACGCGCTCCTCGGGCCTCTCGCGTGCTCGATGGCTTTGAGACGGACCCGCGGCGCCGCTCTTCCCGGCCTCTCTTCGCTTGGTGCTCAGCCACGGTTGTATGCCAATGCGCTTTGTCGGGTGGCCCTTCGTCACAGGTTGTTGGGAGGCTGCTTATTTTTCTCAATTTCCACATTTCTGAGTGTAGTTCAGCAATTATATATTCTGAACATTCGCTGAATATTCATACGTTTGGTGGCTTTTGGTAATTTTTTATGTTTCAGTGATTCGAATAGTATACTTTTTAATTTTTTTAAACTGCGAATTTGTTGTGGACAGTTGTGGAGATGATTCCATGATTCCCTAAAATCAACAGTTTGACAGACTGGACTACACTTCGGATCCACTTTTTGACACGCCGGTCTACAGTTCGTTCTACACGACCAGCTAGCGTATCCACGAAAGTACTACATTCGTGGATACGCTAGCTGGTCGTTCAGGTGTGCTAATTAGTCGCGACTGGGAAGTCAATAAAAGGACGTCTTTTAATTAATCAGTAAAGTTTAATTTAAAATTAAATAATATAAATATATTAAGTAGTAAGAATAAAATGAAATGTGAAATAATATACAAATTCTAACTTACGTAGCATCCAACTGCGTAAACTGGAAGCGGGACTGAAAGCCAGCAATTTTTATTTCATATTTCAAATAGATTTTAAATAATTTCTAAAATATTAATTTGCAAACGTATAATAATAGCTCCAATGTAAGAAACGAACAAAGAAATATGAAATAATATACACATTCTAACTTGTGCCTCATCCAACAGCCTCAAACAATACTAAAATTACGATCATGACGCGCAGGATGTTCAGAGCGGGGACTAAGTTTTGAGTAATTACTCAAGTCACACTCATATTTTCGAAAAATTTAACATGTTCTTATTTAAATATTTGTTTTTGATGAACACATTTCATTAAGAAAAAATAGTATCTTCATAATCGTAGTTGTAGGAAGACGTCAAAAAATTGTTATTTTTTTCAATTGTCGAAAAATCAGGGGTTTCAATCAAACATGATACCTGCACCATTTTCTTAAACGTTCTTCAGACTATCCACCAACGAAAATCCATCAAAAACGAAAGAGCCATTTTTGAGAAACAATTTGTTAAAACAAAATTTAAAATTGTGTATATTTCACATAAAATTACGAGAAAAATACTGAAATTTTCGAAAAATTCTACATGACCTTACTTCAAAATCTATCTTTAAGGAACCAGTTTTATTAAGAGAAAAATCTATCTATAATATTTTACTTGTATGAAGACGCCAAAAAAACTTTTACAGTTTTGCAATTTTCGAAAAATCAGAGTTTTTAACGAAAGTTAGACCTGCATCATTCTCTTAAACTCATCAAGTGTTAAATGATCCTCCCCCCTACGTTTAGCAACTGGATTTATGCACAATTTCGTTCATACTAGGGTAATGTAAGAAGAATTTTTCTGCCGGAAATTCGCCGCTTTTTCGCGCAGCATTACATAACTTTCTCTGTACAGCGGGAGCGGGAGCGAGAAAATGAAAATGGCTGTCTCAATTTCATTAAAACATTTGAATTATGAAAAATTGCAAAAGCTCAATTTTTGCGGCGTCTTACTATAACTGCAATGTAAGGACAATTACACTTTTGCAAAAAATACGCTATTTTCCGCTATTTTGTTTGATGTATCGGCAATTTTTAATCAATTTTCTCAAACACAGCTCCAAATGTTTCTTTTAATTTCTTGCTCATGTGTAGCAAAGGATGGTAAAATTCTGGTCCTGGTTCCGTTTTCGGTGAACTATCTATATTTTCGAAAATTTGTAGAAAATTGAAATTGTAAAAACACAATACTGATGATAGAGATTAAAAAAAATGT